TTTTCAGTGGCCCTAATCCTCTTCCGTATATAAACATTTTGCATTTAAGATTAAAAGTTTTCGTCTGTCAGTATCCTCTATCCAGAACTCCTCAAGTGGAAAAGTTTGAGTTTCACCTGGTTTAATTTAGAGAAAAGTCTTCTTTAAAGAATCTTTGGCTATGCTGTTAATAATCAATCAATTGAAAGAAAAAAAAGCGAGATAAAAAAAAAGCAAGCAAAATAATTCTTTGTTTTAGCCCTATTATTAAATAACGATGACACCTGATAATAGATTTTGACAGAAATTGTAATCTTACTCACACCAGAGAAGTTTCTCGGGGTTACAGAAGGCAGCGTTTAACCAACCGGTCACACATCTAGTGAAGTGGCCACGATTCACAGTTAAAGGAGCTGTTAAATCATTAACGATTGTTTTAATCTTTGTTTTACGGCATTGAATCCTACATAAGTAGTAATTTAGAGAAATTATGTTTCAAAATGTTCTTCTATACTGCAGATATGCAATACTGATTTAATTATGAAATAATACTGCAACAGAAATAACACCTTATTTTTCATATTTAACAAAAGACATCTCTGATTTGCCAAATCTTTACAATATCGCATTTTTACTGAATTATTTTTACCATTAACCACAGTAATTTTCTATTCCAGTAAATTTTTGTTTCCCCTTGTTTTGCAATATCCTACTTGGCTAAGTGTTTATGTTTCTGATTTGTGTTGTTTTAATGCTACAGGGTAGAAATGTAATGTTGGTCTAATTTATTCCACTGTCAGACGTTTTTTCTTGGATGGGCAGTACCAAAACTAAATTTGTCTTTTGGGAGAAGTGAATTGAATTAAATGTAATAAAATTTGCCAAAAACAGTTTATAATCCTGTTAGTATTACAGAAGCATGATGTCCTCTCTAGTAATCTAGATTTCCTCGTCCTCTTTAACTAAATCGTCTCTCTGTGTTTGCAGCTTATGAGGTTTTGTCCGACGAGGGCAGAAGAAGAAAATACGATCAGTTTGGTGACAACGCATACTTCACTGGGGAGACGCAAAAACCTGGAAGCCACCAGCCTTTCACCTTCAACTTCGATGACATGTTTAAGGACTTTAACATCTACAGCCAAAACAGACATTCTCGCCACAGAAGACACTTTGAAGAACACTCCAGGTCCCACAACAGAAACAAGAGACACTTCCAGGGTGGCTTCGGGGCTGGGATGCTCGACGACATGTTTGACGACATGGATAGAATGTTTACTTTTGATAGACATAGCAAACAGACTGAGGGCAGGTTTCACGGTGCGACGAAGCAACACTGCCGAACTGTAACACAGCGCAGAGGAAACATGGTGACCACTTACACAGACTGCACTGCATCCTAAAGGGATTTCTAGCTTAAAACAACACAAGAAAACTACAGAAATCTGCATTGTCAGGATTATTGAGAAGAACGTAGTTTGCAAGCAAACAATGACTTTAGAGAGCATTCCTCTAAATTGAAATAAGCTTTATTGTAATTGAGTGTTAGGGAGTTATAATTTCTCTTTATATAAGCTGAAAGCCATTTTTTTTCTTCTTTTTTTTTAACTTGTTGCTCATTAACAGTCATAAATTCATAGGTCACATCACAATTTACGAACATTTGCAGAATTAGTTTAGGGTTTTCTGATGAAAGCAGGGATCACAGTAACCTAGCATCCTCTGCATCTTTGTTTCAATGTTTGTTCTCCACTGTTCTGAAACACTCCTAGGCTGTATGATGATAGTGTCCTTTCTTTTCAAATGTTTGTGGTCAACCCACTACCGGAGCACTTTTTGCAAAGTTATTAGACTATCTGTTAAACAGAAAAAACTAGTATCATAGATATATGTGTGTTTGTGTTAAATTTTAGAACACAATGCACTCTAAAAATAAGTGCTGGAGTACTAGACAACAGGAATTCATGCCTGACGTTCTTTAAAAAAAGCCTCTTGTATTATCTTTGTGATTCACAGAGGTTTTGGAAAATTGAATATGAATTCCAGTGGCTTTCTATCGGAGCTCTTGAGTATAAGCTATACAGCTGAACTGACTTAACAAACACTAGCTAATAAACCCACAGGGGTCTGGTAAGCTTCACCTGTAGGTTATGTTGGTGCTTTTATCTCTGATTGTTTCAACTTCTACTGTGCCACTGTGTTGGATATGTTTTCCATATTTTACCTTGTAAAATATTAAAAAGGCACTTTAAGTAAATTGTAACAAAAAAAGTTTTAATTGTTTATTAAAGACTGAAAATATGCAGATTGTATTAGAGGTGGGAGATGTGGACTTCATTAAGTCAGTTAATTCCATTACATCATTAATTTAAAAAATGAAACTCATATCCTATAGATTTATTACACATTTGGTGGACTTCCAGCTACTTAACTAGAATTCAGCTCCTTAGACAAATGTGGCTTAGAAGAATACTGAGTTTATACCATCTGCAAGTAGGGTTTGCCATTGAAAGGTCAATCATGGCTGCCAGTTTAAAGTTAAATGTGAAAGCAGAAGATATACAAGCAACAGGCAGAACCACAGATTGAGAGGATTATGAAACATTCCCATGTTTGGGGGAAATCCACAAGGCATGGACCAGTTGGAGATGGTGCTTCTGGATCTGCCTCACAGTAATGTCAAGGATATGAAAGAAGCTTTAACTGGGACCTTCCTTATGTTAAAGTGGTAGACCCAAGGTCTGGTGTTCAATAATGGATACTCAAAAAGAAGGCATAATGATGCAAAAAAAACATACAAAGCAGGTAGTTCTCACCACTCTCCAACACTCCCAACTATGTTTTATTCCAGTCTGTAAATCTCATGCATTAGGTCTTTCTGTCTGAACCCTTGTGTTGGCATTTGGAACAGCGCTATAACTTTACTACAGGCATCCCCAAAGTCGGCCCTCGAGGGCCACTGTCCTGCAGATTTTAGAGGTTTCTCTGATTTAGCTCAGCTGATTCTGATGACTGCAGTTCAGCAAAAGCTGTGCTGGACAGGGAAACCTCTAAAACCTGCAGAACTGTGGCCCTCGAGGAACGACTTTGGGGATGCCTGCTTTACTAGTAATGATATTCAAACAAGTAAAAAAAAAAACGAGTATGAGATGCACAACGTATATGATGTTAGACCTTTTTAAACCTTATTGCACCAGTCAAATTTGTAAAACTGGGCTAATATTTACCAATATGTTTTGCTATATGGTTGATGATTTTGTTCCGGGAGGGTAAGGAAAACAGGTTGGATTGTGGGTTGTTTTTTTGGTGATGTTACAATGATTGCATGCAGCAAATAATTGTAGGTGTTTAACTGAAGCTGGGAAGTAATGTCAGCATTATGGTTGGTTTTACATGCTGTATAGTATTGGTCATAATGGCAATATTGATGTTAAAACTCAGTAATAATGGCCCAGATCTTCATATTGGTTTATCCCTAAAATTACGATATAAGTATTTATGATATAACACAGAGTGAGGAACTGTAGTTCAAAGTCCGCTTCAGATGAAAGTAAATGTGCATTTAATTAAAAAATCAGGGTCCCAGGGAATAAAAGAGACCTAGATATGAACAGGACTAAAAGTGAATGGTGGTCTAGTTTGAAGCTGATGCACTGATGACTGAGGAAGCCATGTCACCTGCTCCGTTTTGCTTTTCATCCAGTCCAAAATTAATGAAAGTTTCCCCAGTTAGAGTGCTTCAGGCTTCCCTCTGTTGGCAAGATTTGTTAAGATCCTGATTTCAAATTACACTGACTTTAATGAACATGGAATGATCTATTTAATTTCCCCACGAACATACTCAGGGTCACGTGACCCTCATTTAGTGACTATCGGTGGACGATGAGAGACCAGGTCAGGTCCTTACATTAAACAGAAAAGCCGTGCTTTCTAACACTTCATTAGAGCCAGAGGTTAATGATGCACTGATGCATCATTATAGATGTACAGTAATGTGTGCAAAAGGAGCCCATGCCAATTACTAAGCACATATACTATATGCTATGTGGACGTACTTCTTAGTTAATATTTTTGTATGTAGATTATTTTATTTGCGTTATTTAATCTAATAAAAATCTGTACAAAAAAAAACAAAAAAACAGCACAGTTACACATAAATGTCCACTGGAAATTATTTACTTTGTATATATATATATTCATCTTATAAAATGTTTTGAATGGAATTATTTAAATATTTTTTTTATTATATGTATACTCAAAGTCCTGTTTGCTAAAATCAATACAATCATGATTCCGTGTTGTCTCATGTATAGTTGTTTTATCGCAATCAACACGGTGTTCACAGATTTACCTAAATATTTTGATCCATGCTTACCGTTACCATAGAAATGAACAGTGGCCTACGTGTGACGACAGCTGTCGGCGTTCAGCCGTCTCGAACTTCAACTCCCACAATGCAACTGCGGCAAACTGCGCAGTTGACGGCTCGAAAGTCAGGACTCCAAAGTAGCTTTAGCCGAGGGGACGTTGAATGACTTTGTCCCCGCGTGCTTTAACGAAGACTAAAGTTCTGTCGAGGACATTTAGGTACTGACGTCGGCTCTAATGGAGGCCCTCATTCCTGTCATTAATAAACTTCAGGATGTGTTTAACACAGTCGGTGCGGACATCATTCAGCTGCCCCAGATAGTTGTTGTGGGAACCCAGGTGAGAAACGTCTCTTGTTCTTAAATGCTAGCAAGTTGTTTTTACCCTGTTTAAACTAAATATTTGTTATTCTTATTGCAGTTTTCCATCTAGCTTTAGCCAAACACATTATTAAAAACACACCCACTGGACCGTACACTGTAATTTTTATCTTTAATTTGAATAATTACAACTGGAGCTAAGTTAGCATTAGCTTCATAGCTCTGCTATTTATAAGTTTTTTGACAGCTGACTTCAACAGTATCTACGTTATGACAACCTTAAACATTTAAACTATAGTTCCTTTTCTCTTAATATTTTTTCATGGGCTTTAAAGATTATTTTTGCATTGGGTACATTTCATGAAATATAACTTAATACAATTAAAATATCAGTAAAAGAAGTAGGTATTTTGTTAAATCTTGTTTTTGTTCTACATCTAATTGTACTTTTGTATTTTGTCGTTGAAAAAAATCAATGCGATTTAGCCTACATTTATTTAAAACCTTTCTTTACTCTTTAAAAGTTAGCATTATCAGTTGTAAACATTGGAGCTTAATTGGTTTAAAGTGGCTGGTTTTGTCTAAGAGATTTACCCTCTGGTCAGCTAATAGGATGTGTCTGTCTCAGACAGTTTGGCCTTTATCTGGGCTGTCAAGGAGAACGAAGGCATTAGGGGAAAGGACAGTTAAAAGGTTTTTGTTTTGCTTGGCCTTTAGAGATAAGTTTTCTGTAAAGAACATCACCTGGAATGCTGTTTCATTTCATATTTCCTACTAAATAAAAAGGCCATGGTTCTATAAGTTAGAAGCTTATATTTAAGTTTTTTTTGTCATTGATTTAAGTGCTTTAACAAGTAGATTACCTAACTTACATTGGCAGCAAACTAAAGTATACAGGATTTTAGCACTTCATAAAAAGCCTTTTGTTAGGGGAGAAAAACAAACCTAGTTTTATCTTTACACACATATTTCATGGAGTAAATAAAAGAAGCTCTATTGTCATTGTGCAGAGTAAATTAAAAAACATTGTTGATCTTGGTAAACCTATTTTAGAAGAACAATTATTTAGCAAGTTTTTAAGTAATCTTCAATACATGAGGACAAATACCTTAGAAAAGCATCAGCTGCTTCACAGCATTTTAGACATAGATGCACTAATCAGACTTCTCCTGGACAGAGACAATTTTATTTTTAGATCAGCCATGCTGATTCGGTTTTTGTTTTTCTTTCAGGATTATAACACATTCTGTAAGTTATTTAAATAGAGGTAAATGTTTTAAATGGAGGGGAATAAAAAAAAACTTATTTGGGCATTTATGCAGTGGTTTTAAACCTTTTCTAATTATTAGACTTAAAATTTGTGTGCTCGGTTGACAGATTTGTGTCTCTTAAGGGTTCCTTATGTGATGGAAAAGCAGAAAAAAAGGGGATGTGGGTGATTTAGTGGTGTGTCTGTAACAATAGATTTGTACTTATGAAGCAGCATGATGGCAACTAGTCCATAGCCAGCTTAAGAAATTAAAGTAACCTCATTGGCACAAATGCAAAGGAAAGCATGACACTAGAAGCTATACATAAATGAGCATCCAAATTTAAGATTTAACTTGATTATATCTTTAAAATAATTCTGAAAAATTCAGGCATATTTGAAACCTCTTATAGTCTTAAAGTTAAGCCTTTTTATGGCAACAGCCTTATAATGGACTTACCATATCAAGAGAAACCAACAAGCAATCAATTTCAGTAAAGAGACATTGTCACAAACCTGCTGGAACAGTTCAGGGTAACTCCACCCTTCTACTGGTGCTGATTTCTCCAGTGATTTTCTGGTATGCACTGCCAGATATACTTTATTACCTGCTAGTTCAACCCTTAATGAATGGTCCTTTTGGAAATCCCTTAATAAGTAATATATTCATTTTTAGCTTTACTTCCTCTCTGCAAAGTTAACTGGAATGTCCACATTAGCTGGTCTAAAAGATTTGAACATATTAAATACATTTGTAGGTGTAACCAATAGTCTTTCTTTGTATGCATCATGATGTGACTGGTTTTTCCCGTTAAAGAAGGATTAGTGTGTTACAGTAGCTAGATATTAATGCAGTTGCTTACTGTTGTTTATAATGTTATTGCTGTTTTCTACAGAGCAGTGGGAAGAGTTCTGTTTTAGAGAGCCTGGTGGGCAGGGACATCCTACCACGCGGTACTGGCATTGTCACACGCCGGCCCCTCATCCTGCAGCTGGTACACATTGATGCAGAGGATCGCAGGAAAACCAATGAGGAGAATGGTAACATCAAAGTCACATCTTCCTCTTTTTCTGTAGCATTGCATGGTCGACTTGAATTGGTTTGAATTCACTTATTAAAAGGTGCCTTAAAATAGTAATAATGCAGTAAGCTCAATATATGCTCTTGATCTTCTTTCTCTTTAAGTTGATATGTGGCTTTGATTTTTCCTTAACTGCAAAAAGGCTATTTTAACGATGAAATGCTCTCCTCTTCCTTTGGCAGCTGCCTCTAAGTGATGCTGCATTGTTTCACTAACATACAGATGCCACACTTAGCAAGGCTAATATTTTTGTCTTTCTTTAACCACAGCACCCAAGAAAAATGGCCGCCTTACCAAAGGTCTCCTTCTTTGTTTTCCTTGTTTGTCTGCTTTTATATTCCACCTCCACCTGTGAACCCAAACCATTTGCTCAGCTTCCCTTCCCCCTCTTTGCTTCATCCTCCCTTGTATTTTTATAGCTTTTTTTAAGTTGCCCAGTTATGTGTCCTCGTTTGCTCTGTTCAGGTGGATCTGTGTTAGTGGGAGTAAGAAATAGAGAGGAATGCAGTTGATTTTTGTCAAATTAAAAACATTTTTTTAACACATTCTTAATCATTTAGAGGCATAAATGTAACAATTTCGAACATTACATAAGGATAAATCACATTGTCCATTGACTCCATCCCGTAATTATTGCTATTTTAGACAAAAAACAAGTCCTTTATTAAACCTTTATTGGAAAATAATCTAATACTGTAAAAATACATTTTTTAAAACTTTAATATAAGTTTATTTCTAGTGGGGAAGAAAGTCCAACTTTTCGGCCATAACTGCTTTAAAAAAGTTTATTTATGGCCACTCCTACGATCACTTTATTTACAACTTTGTAGGGTTTTCACGATAATAAAACTTTAATCTAGATATTCATATCCAGGAAAATATATTGTAATTCAATAAAAAAAAAAATCACAAACTGTGAAAGGCATAATTTCATTACAATGTAAAATTCACTTTTTTCAATCTCAACATCAAATTTGCTTTCTCAACAGAATCACAGATGATAGTTAAATAAATCTGCAAATAAATGCAAAGTAAACCTCATTAGTACACACTTTGGTAGTGTTTTAAGGTAATTGGTAATGTGCAAATAATCCAGGATTCAAAGATTATTAAAACCAGAGACGCTCAAACAACAGATGTCTTTATTTTTAATACCATTCTGAATTAGTGTTTGTATCCGGATGCAGAGTTTGAGCATTGATATTTTTGGAAACCTCACTGCTTGGATGAAATCTGTTTTTGTTTTTTATCTCTGGTGAAACCATTTCTTTCTTAATTTAGCCATTTGTTTTGCATCATTATCCTGCAGAAATCTTATATCTGTTGTTTAGTTTTCTGGCAGACACTGACATGTTTTTAATTTAAAATTTCCTCTCATTTCAAAACTTTTTGATGACATTCACTCTATTAGGTAGAAGAACCCACAGCATCACAGATCCTCCTCCATACCAAACTTTTTGAAATGTTCTCCCTTGGTTTGATGGCAGACCCATAGTAGGTTACTGGAAAGCTCTAATTTATTCTTATTTGAACACAGTAGATTTACAATAGAGGTTGAGAATGAACAGCTGTTGTTTTTATGTTTTTTTTGTTATTTTTTTTTTTTTACACTCATACCATAGTGTGGTCTAATTTATTTTATTAGACCACACTATTTTTTTATTTTATTCATATATCTTACTCCATTACCCACTGTATGTAAATGTAGTGACAAGTAGCTAAAAATTAAACCTTTATGTCAGATATTTGTACCTCAGAAATTGAGTGTTTAACACATTGAAGTATCTTAATCGCTCAGATAAACTTTAAAAAAGTATGGTGTAAATTATTAACTGCGTTAGTTACATTTATTTTAAAGCAATTGTTAGAAATGTCGTACATTTTATCTGACATCACTATTGAACTTTATGGACTTTCACTTATTCATCTTTCCCCTTTTGGCAGTATTATTTTTGGTACCATTGAGTCAACCGTTTTTGTTTTTGTAAACTTTGATGATGTCCAAGTTTAATATAGTTTTTCCATCCTGTTTTACTGTTAGAAAAAACTTCTCCCAGGAGAAATTCACAAGGGGACTGTTGCCATAGCAGCAGCCATGTTTTCATGAAAACATCTGTTTACATCTTTGTATCTCTGCAGGTATCGAAGGAGAGGAGTGGGGGAAATTTCTACACACCAAAAACAAGGTAGAATTCACCAATATTGCTCCGTGGATTTTTAGACTTAAAGTTTAAGTCAATCCTCTGCTGGATATTAATGTACACATTTTTACCCAAAATATACAAATCTACTTAACAACTAACTATAGGAGGATCTATTGAAAGTTTTTGCTGTGATGAGAGCTAGGGTTCTTCTTAGCTGCTTGTCAAATACTTTGGGCGAGATAGTACATTTATTTTATGATTACTAACAGTGATTTTCAATGTGACTCTAGTAAAGATGTTTTTTTCAATATCTAGATCTTATTTTTGCTCCTTTTGCTCTTCTGTTAGTTAAAGACTACTTGTATGGATCTTGCCTGGTCAACCTTTCTTGATGTCATTTGATCAAATTTTACTTTCAGATTTATGCAGACTTCGAGGAGATCAGGAAGGAAATTGAAGCAGAGACAGAAAGAATCACGGGTAATAACAAGGTATGCTTGGTGGGGGAAAAAAAGGTAACGTTACTTGGAAAATTTAGTTTAAAGATCTTAAATCTTTGTGTTTTTGTTCCAGGGTATTAGTGACGAACCCATTCACTTAAAAATCTTCTCTCCAAATGTCGTAAACCTCACATTGGTGGACCTTCCTGGCATCACGAAAGTAAGACAAGTTTCGGTTTTGCTTCCAAAATCTCAGACATGTAATTTTTATGCAGTGTTGAACTTCCTTAAATGCCCTTCCAAAAAAAGAAACTTAAAAACAATCCACTGGACTGATGGGCTACTGTATAAAACCTCAAACTCGATGCTATTCCTGACATTTTGAATTGAAAAAGCTTCCTGAATGGGAAGCAAAACATCTTCAAACTTTGAAAAAAAGTCCAGTGGATTGTTTTTAATTTTCTTTTTTTGGAATGACTATGACCTGAATGAATGAGAATCTTCACCTCATATTCCTAAAATGTCTTTGAATAACCTTTAAGTTAAGTGGTTTCATTTGACAAGATGTTGTTAATCTTGTCTTATTAGTCCGCATTTATTAAAAAATAGTATCAATTATGCTGCAGAAATGATTAATAAACAAATATGTATGATGGCATGTATGATTATGTTCTTGGAGTATCAACAATCACATGTAAAATATTTGGTTGTTGGAAACAATTGAGTTGAACAAGCCCTTCCTGTGTTCAAGCATAGTTTCACTGGCCTCACCCACAGCGTCTGTGACAAGATTGAACGAACAACACATTTCTTTTATATTCCAAGGTGACAATGTAATCACACAAGATGGATAACTAGTGAAAGACACTCCAAAACAAACAGAAGTCAAAGTTTTGGTTAAAAAAACAAAAAAGAAGTGCATAAATTCACAATAGTCATTTGCAAACTAAACACATATATTTTGTTAAAGACAGTTCTAAGATCATATTTTAAACCAACCCTTTGCAGTGAGGCTTTCAGAGTTCTTCACTCTGATGGCAGCAGCAGAAAACACCTGATCTCTCATCATGGATTGAGTATAGATTGACTATTAGAAATTTACATTTCCCCACTCTGATCAGGACCCAAGCAGCAGAATTATGGATTTGCTGCTGTCTCTGGAGATTTTTAATACTAGGGAAGAGTGTATTAGTAGTGTGTTTTATGCATGGTGCTTGGAAAACAATGTCTATTGCAGTACCACAACTATCCATGGCCTGCTCCGCTATGCAAATAGTCTCAGTTCTTTATTATGAGTTGATAAGGGAAAATCTTCATGCTGTGGAAAAAAATAAGAGCTATGATCAAAATCAAAGTTTATCTCAACTTTGATTTTGGCTCCAAATGACCAGATTAATGTAAACTACAAAAATAATATTAGTAAAAAAAAAAATTATAGAATTTTTTTTTCTGCAATAATTTACATATTGTGCTCCTTATTTTTTTCTTCTATTTAGAAATGGCTTAAAGTCAAAAATATGATATGATGGTTTATGGCTCTTGGGTTTCTGCATCACGCAACATTCCAGCATGTCTGGACTTGGATATGGAGAACTTTAGACCTGCTAATAAAGTCATTGGAATTTATAAATTATATTATTCCAAAACCTTTGTAGAATCATTTTTAACAGTTAGGTTTTCTTAATAAAAATAACCCTCTGCAATTTTATTGTGGCAATTTACACATAATTATGGCTGGTTAAATAATCTTAACTTATGTCTTAAAGGGTTTTCTAAACTATTTTATGGTTTCAAACTGACATTTATTTCTGTAAATAGGTACCAGTAGGCGACCAACCTAATGACATAGAGATCCAGATCAGGGAGCTGATTCTCAAATACATCTCAAACCCCAACTCCATAATCCTGGCTGTGACCGCTGCCAACACTGACATGGCAACGTCGGAGGCTCTAAAGGTTGCCCGGGAGGTTGACCCAGATGGTAAATGACACTTTTTCTTTTTTTTTTTTTCTCTCCCTGTCTGTTTTGATATGTGATTATCCTTTATTTATTATATTTGTGTTTTTAACATTTAGGAAGGAGGACCCTAGCTGTTGTGACCAAGCTGGACCTTATGGATGCTGGCACTGACGCCATGGATGTTCTCATGGGCAGAGTCATTCCTGTCAAACTGGGCATTATTGGAATAGTGAACAGGTATCAATAAAGCAGATCATGCTTACATATAGAGCTCTAATGCAGGCAGTAATTGTAAAAAAAATCGACACACCCTGATGGCTGTTTATCTGTCTGCATTTTCTCAGGAGTCAGTTGGACATAAATCAGAAGAAAACAGTGGCCGATTCCATTCGCGATGAACATGCCTTCCTACAGAAGAAGTATCCGTCTCTTGCAAACAGAAACGGAACCAGATATCTGGCTAGAACATTAAACAGGTATAAATTATAGTATTTCAGCATCGGGACAGATTACCCTGATGGGCAACAGTACAATCATTTCAAATAACATGTAATGTAAAGAATAACAGATGACCTAAAGACTGCCATAAAAGCAACAAGCCATAAAAGCAACAATCCTATCTAAGCAGTACTTCTAGCTGATCACTTATATGGAGGAAAAAAACAAACAAACTCAGTTTCAACTGTAAATCATTTCCACCATATGACCATCGTTTTGTGGACCTCAGGTTTTTAGATATACATAGACATGGTTCTGAAGAAAGCCCTCAGAGACTGAACCTCCTATGGAAACTCCAGATGTGCAATCTTTAGAAAAGATGCTGATTATCTTTGTTTTATGCTCATCTACACAACAGAGCTGGATCAAACTGTTATCAACAGATAAGGCTTTCAGAGAGAATCATTACAGCTGATCTAACCCCTCATCAAGAGGTTGCACAGTTATTTTTGGAAGAAAGCAGCTATAAAAACAGTTTGTTTCCCCAGGCTGTAACTGGTGAACACAGTAAACATCGCAGTCACAGGTCAGCTGCTCTGCTGGGAAATAAATAAGCATATTAGCCTATCACAAGTTCACAACATGCCTTGTTCTTTGTAAAGCAAAAAAGAACAGATGACTGCACAAACAACAAACTATTCCTTATTTTGTTTCGATTTAAGTTGTGACTAGGGATGGGTAAAAAAAAAAAACGATTTAATCGATTTTGAATCGATTACTTTACATTTTTGCAGAATCGATGTCTAGGGAACGAGATCGATTATTTTTATAGTTATGCGCGTGGCGTTCACATTCAAATGAGCTGGAAAGATACACTCAAGATGACTTCAAGCCAGACAGCTGCAACTATAGCTAGTAGGTTGACTGAAGACATTAACAAATGGGGGCTGACCAGCAAACACCCTGTAGTTGTTACAGACAACGCTGCAAATATGGTTTGTGCATTGAAGATAATGCAGCTCATGCATGTCTGCTGTGTCCTCGCTGTGTCACGACTTTGGCCTTACTTTTCCCAAACAAGCTTGCACTTATGAGACATATTAGTTCACATCTCAAGCTTAAACTGTCTGATTTACAAGTTTGCACTTTGTGTTTAATGTGACAAGAAAAAGTAAAATACATGAGTATTCTGAAACACAGTTGAACCACTTTCATTATTTTAAAAACAGATCCAATCGAAATTAATTCATTTAGAACTGTATGAATCAAAATAATTTTAAACTACATCTTTAAAGGGGTAAAATGAGGGGGAATGCCAATCCTAAGTGTTGCAAACGTTTCTCTGATTTAACTTGACTTCTACATTTTGATGATAAACAGTTTGCTTTGTTATTATTTTGCTGCTATATAAACTGACCAGACTTTGTGTTTGATCACCACAGGTTGTTGATGCATCACATCAGAGATTGTCTTCCTGAGCTGAAGACCAGGATCAACGTGCTTGCGGCCCAGTACCAGTCCTTACTGAACAGCTACGGGGAACCTGTTGAGGAAAAGAGCTCCACCTTGCTGCAGCTCATCACCAAGTTTGCTGCAGAGTATTGTAACACTATAGAAGGCACAGCCAAATATATTGAGACAGCAGAGCTGTAAGTTGCACAGGTCTCTGAGCTGTATCCTCTGTGACTTTAGACATTTAACTGAATACATGTTTTACTGCTTTTTAACATTTGAAAATGTTTTTTTTTTTTCAGATGTGGTGGAGCAAGAATCTGTTATATTTTCCACGAGACGTTCGGCCGTACTTTAGAGTCTGTGGATCCTCTGGGTGGCCTGACGACCATCGACGTGCTGACGGCAATCAGAAATGCAACGGTTAGTTACTCTACATTTTTCTGTAAGTCCTTATCCTACCTGGTAGCTTTAGGATGGATTACAGTTTGGATTTCACTGACAGGGCCCAAGGCCTGCCTTGTTCGTGCCGGAGGTTTCGTTTGAGCTGCTGGTAAAGCGACAAATCAAACGGCTGGAGGAACCCAGTCTGCGCTGTGTCGAGTTGGTTCATGAAGAGATGCAGAGAATCATCCAACACTGCAGTAATTACAGCACTCAGGTGAGAGATACTCATGAGCAGAAAAAAACCCAACAAAGCAAACATTGATGCTAAATATCCCGGCTTTTCTTTCTGCAGGAGTTATTGAGGTTTCCAAAACTTCATGATGCCATAGTGGAGGTGGTCACCTCCCTCCTCAGAAGGAGACTTCCAGTCACAAATGATATGGTTAGAGCGTTGCTTTAGCTAACGCCAGTTATCTTTCTGTTGAACATTTAAAATCCGATCAGATTGATTTCTGTATTCTGCTTCTCTGCAGGTTCATAACCTGGTTGCCATTGAGCTGGCCTACATCAACACCAAACACCCTGACTTTGCAGATGCCATTGGCCTCATGAACAATAATATAGATGTAAAAATTTGTCTTTTGTTCATTTAATCCTTAACGCTGTTGAAAGCATGGCGTTGCTTCATTTTTTTGTAATGTCATAACCTCTTTTAGGAGCAGAGACGCAGCAGAATGAGAGACTTGCCCCCCTCCGTACCCAGAGATAAGGTAGCCTCTGCTTTTGTGAGATTCTCACTGCTGCTGTTTTACTTTCTAAAGCCTCAACAAGACTGTCATTTATGCAGTTTACCGTTCTTTTACTGAAGCTTTTAACAGTTTCTGAATTTAAATCTATAGTAATATTTTAAACAATTCAGCTTCTGTACCTCATAAACAGCTGTTTTTAGCTTCAGCTTGTGTTTCTATTCACTCTTTTCTGCTCCTTGTTTAATTTTAGTCCTTTAAAAGCCCTTCTGGGCATTCTGTTTGGATGGTGAGGCAGTTAAGGTCTCTCACTTTCTGTTGCTATCTGCAAACTCTGCATCTGGCTTCCTCTAACTTATAAGCTTTGTTTTCAAATGCATGCAGCCATTACTAATAGTCGATAGTGAATTTAGGTATTGAGTGCATTGGGTTTTAGAAGAGGTTTTAATATGAAGTCAGAATTCTGCCGGGGCAGGTGCGTAATAAATACTAATGCAAGCAGTTTGATTTAAATCATGCCACATACTCTCCTCTCCACCTGCATTATGTAAATGTTTTCCATTCTTTATGAGTGTAGATTCAATAATAATAATATTATGTAACAGGCATGAGTGCTCACTACTCATCTGCGCTCGTTGCCTGCTTTTTATGCACCTGTAGATTCTCTCCCACTCATGTGATGATCTGGTTCTTATTGTATTCTTTTTTCAACATTTTGGCTAGTATATGGTAGAAAAAATATATTATTTGCTCAATTATTAGCAGATTAAAAAGAAAAAGCATGGAGTGCATTTGTCATCACTCCTTCAGTCAATTTTGATGTCTTTTATTGAAATCCAGTACAGCTAAAATGAACGGTGAAAATAGGGTTTGCCTCTATGTGAAAGCGTAACACAGTGATTCCCTAAATGCTTAAAAGCATTTTTGGAAAACTTATATTTTACTTTACCTTTTACATCACCAAAACACAAGAATTACACAGAATATGTCAGGAGGAAAGACGTGAAATGCAGCATTATGTTTTGTAAAAAAAAAACTCTAACCTTTAGACTCTTACGGCGTGTGGGGAAGCAGCACGTTAATCAGAGAAATAAGTATGAGGCTTCTGGAGGAGTAATGGAAAATCAGTGAAAGGACTGCTGTTGGTGTTACACACCACAATTCTGGCTAAATCTATTAATCTGTTGATTATTTTTTCGATTCACTGATTAATATTCAGATAGCCAAAGGTTTCTTAAAGAAGACTTTTTATTAAATTAAGGTGAAATTAAAACTTTTCCGCTGGAGAAGTTCTTGATGGAGCACATTGACAGATGGAAAGAAATTTTTTTTTTAATCTTCAATGCTAAATATTTACATATTTACGTTTACATTTTTGGTATAGCTACTGCTCTAAGTGGGTTGCTCTGTCAGCTAAAGGCATGTTTTACTGTCTCTATACTCCAGATAACGATTAATCGATTACTAAATTGGCAAATAATTTTTGCAGCCATAGTTTCAATTTTGCCACAAGTCATGTAGGAGAGACTGCAAGCAGGAGAGGCTCATATAGTCAGATGGAGTAAACTTTCTAGCCTACCGGCAAAATATTGTCAGAAAACTAAGATTGGAGCTGCAGAGATCCTTTTCTTTTTTAAGAAACAGAGCCGAGAGAATGGGAACTGGAAGAGTGGCGGCCTAGTGGTTAGAGCATAGAGCTTGGAATCCTGAGGTTGTGAGTCAAAACCCACTCCCAGAGACTGCCACTCTGGGTCCCTGAGCAAAAGACCGTTAACCTCACACTGCTCCCCGGGCACCGCAAATGGCAGCCCACTGCTCCCCAAGGGGAGGGTTAAATGCAGAGAGTGAATTTCGTTGCACTGTACTTGCGACAGTGTAATGACAAAAAAACGCTGGAAAAAGAAAGACCGATCAAAAGTGTTTTAAGTAAAAGACTAAAAAAGTTGTCGAAATTTTATTAATTAATTAAAACCATAATGTTTTCTTTTTGTTTTCTTTACAACATAAAATCCAAATCCAATGTTTTAAAGTTGTAACTTGGCAAGAAGTTAAGTTACCTTAAAGTTTGCAAGACATCCTTAGTTCTGTCATTTAATCAACAATCAGAATGTCAGAATGCATGGAAATGACGGGGAAACATATTGGCTAGAATAGTAAAGGCTTGACTCTTGCTTCTTCATATACAGTCTATCTTGTTGGGTTTTTCTGCTAGTATATTTTGAGTAGATTTTTTTAGGAGAACTTATTGCATGCTAGAGTTTGATCATAATCTATTATTTTCCCTACCCCAAAATTTAAGTGAGACTTTAATTCCTTAAAAAAAGTTCTTCTCTTCTGTGTTCTTATACTAGGCAGCAGCGAGTAGCGTCCCTGTTACAGAGCAAGGAGACGGTGGGACAGGCAGCTGGAGGGGCATGTTAAAGAAAGGAGAGGACTTTCTACCAGGTGACAGGACAACACTCCAACCTCTGCCCTCAGCAAGCCCCATGAGGGGTCATGCTGTCAACCTGCTGGATGTTGTAAGTGGTCTGATTAAAATACATTGACATTTTTTTTTTTTTTTTTAAATACGTATTTTTATAGCATGAAATATGAATGCTTATATCATTGCTGATTAAGAAGCAACCTTAAATGGGCGAATCTGCTGTAAGAAATGTTTGTTCTTTCTTAAATATTAGTTTCTTTTTTTATCTTGTGAAAAAAGCTCTAATGGAATCAAAAGAAAGGTTCATGATTCACCTTGTGTACAATTATAACCAAGATTCTGATCTGCTGATCTGATTTATGTTGTTGCACACTGCTATCACTTGGGGGCAGTCTCATTGTGTCTGCAAGCAGGTTGCAATTTATTTCACCTTTTAAACACACGTTGTTTTGTTATTTTATTTAAACCTTTTTTCGGTTAAGCTCAGCTCCAGGTTGAAGAAGCTAATTTAATTTCTTCTGTCACCAGCCGGTACCAGTATCCAGAAAGCTATCTGCTCGTGAACAAAGAGACTGTGAGGTCATCGAGAGACTCATCAAGTCATACTTCCTGATTGTTCGGAAGAATATCCAAGACAGGTACAGAGTTGTATTTTTTGTTTATTATATTTACCCTCTTTCCAAAATAAATTGGTGCCAAAAACTGACATTTATACTTACTTCCTGAGGTGTGTTATTATCTGAACTCAGTGTACCAAAGGCAGTGATGCACTTCCTGGTGAACCACGTGAAGGACTGCCTGCAGAGCGAGCTGGTGGGTCAGTTATATAAGACGGCCCTGCTGAACGACCTGCTGACAGAGTCTGAGGACATGGCTCAGAGACGTAACGAGGCCGCCGACATGTTAAAGGTGACACATTCTCTACATGTCGCTACAAAGTGCTAAAACCAAAGTCACGGCCACTGATTCAGTGACACTAAATGTACATTTCAGGAATAGTACCTGATCCCCCAGGGATGAAAAGCTTAGTATGTTTTTTTTTTTCAAAGGTATCATTAAAGAGCTGCCTACAGGTCCAAAGTCTTCTTATCATGTAAAAGTAAATTAATTATTTTGTAGGGTTCTGGAGTCCAAGCACTTGAGATCTAAAGTCACTGAAGTTTTTGTGGCTGACATGTCATCTGCTGGTGTTGTTCTACCAGGTTTAATGAAGTCAAAAGTCAAAGCAGCTGTCTTTATGGAAAATCTTAACACTTAATGAGTCTTCTGTGCTGACAAGCTTTATGAAGATCCAATTTAAATCCCTGATGCTGTGGAACAGAGATGCAGCAATTTACACTATATTGATAAATATAGTTACTAATTTCAAAATTCTTCTCAGTGATTGAATGTTTGGGTTTTCATTGAATGTCAGCAGTAATCCTTTGCCTTACACCTTCTGTCTTGTTCTCCAGGCTTTGCAGAAAGCCAGCCAGGTGATTGCAGAGATTAGAGAGACCCACATGTGGTGAGCAGCAACCGTCTTCAGCCTCCTAGCTACAAAGCATCCGTCTCCTGATGCTGCATCTCAGCTATCTGGCCACTTGGAAATGCACTGACATGGAAAAATGTATTACCAGTATAAAATTATGATGTACAGAACAGCGAGGACTGTCTATTAATAGGGGATGGTATTATTGCAGTCCCAAATGATATTTTCTTAAAGGTAATTAAAAGCAGAAATATGTATAATGTTATGTCACCACTGTGTGGAGCCTTGCTTAAAAACATCTGCTATTATTTTAGATTGAAATAAAAGCTATAAATCATTAAACAGTAATAAAGATATCAATCTTTTCTTTATTAGAAGTTGCCATAATATTCTTCTTTCATTTTACATTCATTTGTTGGTTAATAATGTTATTTTTGTAGAACATAGAAACAAAAACATTTGATGATCACTTTTTTTCTTTAAGTATTATTCTGACAATGTTGGACAAATGAGATATTAATGGTTTATAGAGAGACATCAGAGTGGATGAAGTGACTTATTTATTCTTTTGATTTCATGATGGTTGACATTTACTCCCAAGACAACAAGAAAATAAACAGAACCCCAAGTATTTGATCAGTTCATCTACTGGGATTCCTGGATTCGCTCTCGCTGCAGCTTTACCTCAGCCGTCCGCCCATCTTGCCCTTACCGCGGCCTTTGGCACTGAAACATGCAGGGAAAATCTTTAAGCACTCAGAACATCATTATGCTGGGAGTATTTAGTTTGTATCATGTTATAGTAAAAGCACTCATTTTAATCAGTGTTAAGCCAGACTGGATTTTCTGTCATGGCTGAGATGAAAACATAAGTATGTATTGTTTTGCCTTTATGATATTAATCCTTTAACATGCCCTCTTTCTTTTGATTTTACCGGGTAATGTCATATTTTATGTTGGGTCAAACTTCTTAAATGCAATAGATTATTTCTCTCCATCGTACAGATAAACATTCTGTTGGTGTTTAAACTCAAATCCTCAACTTTGGTATCTTTTTCCAAATGGAGAAAATGATCCCCTGTGGGCTTTCATCCAGACTGGCAATTTGGAAATGTTTAAAAAGGTTCAGAATATATATTTTTAGTATTTACTGCATTTGGATAATTGCAAACACAAATTAAAGCTTTGTTTATTACATTGTTATAAAGGAGACTGTTATAGCAGTAATTTATAAAAGTCCAGATAGAATTGTAATCTATTTTCTTCCAGTTACAGTCAAAATCTTTCCTGACAAAACATAACAAACCTAAACGCTACAAGGACTGGAACCAAATGCTTCGATCAGATAAGGTTCAGCTTTTTTTCTGAAAAACCTTTCAGATGGACTGGATTAAAATATATATAGATAGAAACCTCATCTTCACTGCTATATTTACTGGCAGATCAGTCATGCTGTGGGTCTGTTTTTTTTCCAACTTCACATCCAGTGGTAAACCTTGTTAAGACTGGCTGGAATCTTAACGTCTTAGGAATACTAAAATATTTGTGACTGTCAGTTCCTTAATTATCTAAATGTGGATAAATGATACTGAATTGACACAGAATTAGCCTTCTTTCAAGACTGCCTCTGTCTTAGGAGCTAGATCACAGAAAATATGAGGGGTAACACCGAGAGGTGGAGCAAAAGGTGCAGAGACTCGTCTATGAAGTTCTACAAAGTATCAACAGCAGGAGTACCAAGTAGTTTGGCACCAGTTTTTGATTAAAAGCAAACATTTAGTTGTTAATGAGATTCTCCCTACTGAGTCAATGCACTAAAACTGAAAGCCTGTCTATTTATTTAGTTGAACTCACCTCTGGTGGTCTTGAACTCGGCAGAGAAGCTGATTAATCTGCAAAGAAGGAAACGTTAAATATCCACAGGGTGCAGAAAATCATTAAGGTAAAGAAAGGGGGTTTCTTTTCGAGGCTAGAATAGCCTCAATATTACCTGACTTTGACACATAAGCAATACCTTGAATTGTGACTAAAATGTGAAGAAGATACCTTTGATTATCCAGACTTACATCATATTTCTGTCTTCTAAGTTTCTCACTGAGATCAAACTTCTCAGACTCCAAGCCTCTGAGCGAATCCCACAGCTCCTTGGCCTTCTCCCTAAACACAGACAAGTCTCATCAAAATGACGTTTAACATCAGGATCTCCATTGGTATTAGAACTAGACCGATGTTATGGGAGCTTGAGCCATACTTAAGTTTGTCCTCATTCATATGATCAACAGTGAGAGGCTTCCTGCGCTCAGCCAGGATCTTCTTCTTCTTCTCCCTCTCAGTTTGCTTCTTCCCTCCTTTCCTGGTGTCACTCTGTTTATCAGATGAAAAGCAAACAAGTGGGTTTCCTTTTGTTAATTACTTACAATGTACTGGGGATTAAAACACATATACAGGTATTGCAAATTTAGACAGAATAATAATGGCTGGGTTTAATAAAAATAAAAGAAACCTTGCTTTATTTTTTTTTACATAAATTATGATATACTTAACAAATAAAAACAAATGTGATACCCTTTTTCCACCAATGCTGAAGATAGGTACCAACCCCACTGCGACGTGGAAGTGGAATGATGGATAAATGTATGTATGGATAGAATATATATTTGAAATAAATCTGAAGATAGCTTTTAACTAAAAGATAATAAAACGTTGAAATGCAGAGTTTAACCCTAAAATTTATTATGTGCTAAAATCATTACTAATAACCTCAGTATTTGATTATTTAGTGTTTTTGCAGCAGTCGATCTAATAAATTACACGTTGATTTTGGTTTGTAGAAATTAATTTAGGAACCTGTACAGGTACTCAACTGCAGACCAATCAGCTTTGTCTATAGCAGCATAAGCCCCGCCCACTGACTCTGGTTAGGCTCATCAAGATATTCACCATATGCCAACACTGCACTGTCTTGACGTATCAGATATATAAATAAAAAAAAATCCATATTTTTTGAAATTATTAAACATTTTCCTTTCAAGAGTTTCAATGTTTTTTGTTTTTCAAATAAGAAACGACTTATTTACTGATTAAGTTTTATACTCTGGGGCTTTTTACTTTCCATGCCTTCAATTTTTTGGATTAGGAGACATTTAATGTGACAGGAGATATTGTTAAAGTTAGGATCTATGCATTTCTATTAAGACTGCAGTGGTTTTTGTAGGTCTCTATCTTCATTTAGGACTAGATGTTGGAGAATAAACCAATTAAAGCCCAAATGTAGACCTTTTGTCCAGAGCCGTACTGCTGACTCATGTTTGAGAGGGCTTTCTTCTTCTTGGCATCATCATCCTGCTTTTTACGTTGTTCCTCTTGCTCCTTGCGCTCCTTCTCCTCCTGCAGGAAGGAAATAAGAAATCTTCATACGGTTAGGTACTATCAGAGCAAAAGATAAGGTGAGAACATATGCATATACAGTAAACCTTACAGCAAGTCTGGCCTGCCTCTCCTTCTCCCTCTCTGCCCTGATTCTCTGCTGCTCGGCTCTCTCAGTACGACGTTTCTCCTTAAAAATCCACCACAAACACACAAAACATTTACATTCACAGCTTATTTTAGAGTCTCGTCAGATAAACTGAACTCCTCTAAATCAGAAACGCTCACGATTCTGTTAACAAGGGCGATGAGCTCCTCTTCCTCTTTCTTCCTCTGGACAAAGTGAGCCTCAATCAAGGCCTGCAGCTCAGCCAGATCTTTCTCCTGTCGCTTTCTGTAGATGTCCTGACAGCAGAAATGGAACAAAGGCCATTAGAAGATCTAATAAGATTAAACAGAGTATAATATGAAAGAGATTAACTAACATCAAAGTCCACTTTTTCCCCATCGGGCATCTTGGGGGCCGCTATGTTTGTCATAAACCTGCAGAAGGCAAGAGTGTGTTTTTAATGAACGTATTCGGATGGAAATGGGAAGTCAGACATTGGAATTGAGAAAAGCTGAACACTTACTTGGGTTTGGGTTTGGATTCATCTGAGGGAGGGAAATATTTTTGTCATTAACACAAATATGCTTTTTAAACCACAATATAGATATATTTAACAATCATTGTGTATTCAGATAGATTAAAATCACAGATGCATTTTTATGGTTGTTTGATTTGCCAACAGAATGATGCATTCTGTGTTAAATCCTGAGAAACTGCAGAGATTCACATCTCAGAATCAGCCTGTTGCTTTGCGTCAGGGAGAAACACAAAACATCACCCTAGAGACTACATATCCACTGACATATATGGCAGTGTTATGCTGTGGGGGACGCTTTCCTACAGCAGAGACAGAAAAGCAAGTCAGAGTTGGAGGCGAGGTGGACAGAACTTTAAACATCATTCTAGGAGACATCATTGTACTAATAGTAGAACTTGTGTTTTTTCCTTTTCTTTTTTAAAGCTGTTTTCCAACCATCAAGACTCTGAAAATGGAGTAAGCCACTTAGGTTTTGTCCATCAAACTACAGTACCACAGCTCAACTAATACCATTTATATCTGTGGCCGATCTCTCAGGTCAGCTGATCTGGTGCTCCTGACAGTGCCTAAAGTAAGGCTTAAGCTCAGAGGGGATCGAGCGTTTTCTGTTGCAGCTCCAAAACTTTGGAATGGATT